AGCGACGTTCCAAAAAAAGAAAATAAAACACCAACCCCCCCCCGTCCCCGTTACCTACCACAGCCTCAACATGGCGTCGCCTCACCGCTTGTCCTCCGATTAGGATCTTTCAAATTCCGGCTGGGAAGGGGAACACCACAACCCCCCCCCGAGCCGCTTTCTACAGAAAAGGCCTCGTCAAGCTGTGTTTGAGGGACGAGACCGTCTTTATCCCCACATCTTCAAGATTTGTACGCAGGATAAAGTGATCTTTTTGTTGGCGAAGTATCCAGCCGTGCCTTTTTGGGGAACGGCCACAGTGAGATTGTCAGAATCAACCCCCCACATAAAAAAGCCCCTAACCTGCTATGCTTACCATAAAATCCCTTCTGATGTCCAAGAGCATTTCTTCAAACTGTTATAACGTGTTATCAAGGGGCCCCTGAGGACAATCACACAAGCAAGCGTCTCGCTCGGCCACATCAAAACAGTGCTGAGAATCCGTCTTGTTCCAAAGATCATTTTTTATCGATGCCCCATTTAACACTGATGAAACCTGAGTGGGCCTCATGACTGCCGTACAAGGCTAAGAGGAAGTGTGCAGCTTCTGAAAGTCAGTAACCCTTGACCGAGAATGAGAGGTGACTTAATCTGTTAGAGAGCATTTATAGTCATGTTGGGTCTTAAAATGTATTATATTTATTTTCAATACTTACAAGTGCATGTACTTTTCATATTCATTTATATTTATGCGTACTAGAAATTTATCTCGTTGGTATTTATTTTTTTCAGCGGTTGTTTTTAATGTAGTTACAGATTGAGCTAATGGAACCAATGGAAGATTTGACTAAACTGACAAACCTGACAAAATAAAAAAATGGGGGAAAAAAAGCAGCTGCCTCTTTGTTTACTTTATGAATATCTTTTTTCATTTTGTATGTTAGAAACTACGGTTTGTCTTTTGGCGCAGTGGTTTATGTTAATAAAACGTTTGTGTACTGGTAGGCAGAATTTCCTATATTTCAGATAGCTGGGTTTATTTAAGTTGAAAAAAAGCTAGCCACCACAAATGACTTCTTGCAGAAATACAAACTGAAGATGAAATGTTAAGACATGGTGGAGTGTGTGTTAGGTAACCATCACGCAACCACGTCACACTCCGCAGACATAACGCAACGGTGAATCAAAACCTCCCACGCGGCTTTGTTCTGGTGAAATATCGTCTCTCTGTTGTGATCATAAATGGTGTCCGAGCAGTGAGGACGTTGCAGATGTCTCGGAGGGGTCGTTGATGGCGGGACACACGAAGACCCAACAATCCGGAGAATGCGGAGCTGCTCAGAAACACTTTGTGCGTGTGTGTGTGTGTGTGTGTGTATTTGTGGGGGGGTCTGGCAAGTGCTGCTCGTAAGGCAGCACTTGAGTCATTCCAGTAACCCGGATCCTGCGGCTCCAGTTGGCATTGGTCCGTCGACCCCGCTGACTCCCCATCTATAGTCAGCACTACGGGCAGCTGCAGCCCACCTCCCCCCTCGTCATCCATCTTCATAAACTGGATCTCTTTTGCTCTTTTGGACTACATGTTATATAAAACAAGACAATGGAGGTCATCGCACTGGGGAATTGGATTTATTTGGTTTTACATTTACACCGTCGGGTTAACAGACAATGAAAACAATTGTTTGTCCTAGTTTGAGTCAAGGATCCGCAGTCAGAAATCGGGGCGGACGCGTCCTGTGGAGCTCAGTGGTCAACGTGCACTAATGGACTCAGCTGGGTCTCCTGCTGGGACCACCCATGCTACTGTAGGGTGTTCAAGATAAGCAGCCTGTTCCTGCAGAACTACGAGAGAAGGGGAATGAGAAGCTCCCTGGGTGTCCGGGTGGCTTGTCAGGGGTCAGAGGTCACTGCAGGTGTTGTTCAGAACGGTCTGAAATAACTTGACACTCCTGCACAGGAAGCATCCGCGACCGCCAGCTTTGGACACTCAACACGTCACTTTTAAATTAGTAGGGTAGGGTATGTCCATGAGTCTATGAGTATTATTGTAATTTTCTTTTAAGGAACATTAAAAGGTTTATAGTTGTGCACCAAAGAAAAATGTAGCATCTGGTTATTATGAGTTGAAAACCGTATGCAAAATTGCAATCTCTACAATGTAGTGCTACATTGTGCAGTCCCAAAATGTTATCAAGCTGATAAGATGAACAATGCCAGGAGTCCAGTTTTATCACTATCTTCACTGAACAATACGTGAGACGTGCTGGGTTGTCCAAGGTTTATTAATTACTGGACAGCAGTAGAGAGAATGCAAAAAAAGATCAGATTTCAGAGAAGTAGATGAGAAAAAGACTACTTTTCTCATAAGACGAGCTATTCTGAAACAGTAACCTCACAGTAACCAGTCAGGGGACAAAGGTCTTTTCTGCCTCCGTGTACCTGCTCCTACGTGTCGAGGGAAGTGAGGCCCATGAGTCAGTGGATTAGCGTCCCACTAAGCCCTGCCCTTGTTTGTCAAAGCTTATTCTGAAACTGAGGCACCCCAGCGCTGACCCCTGTCCACGCTCCTGCCTTTCCTCTACCGATACTATGGAAGGCAGGCAGAGGAATGCTCACACATGGCCTTCCCGTGGCCAAAGGTCCACATTGCAGCAGGCATTCTACCTCTAGCATTCATCGTTACACGAAGAGGCCTTTATTGAACTTTACGCTGGATTTGAATTGTCGAATTTCCTTAGGAAGAGTCCTAACTGAGTGAAATGACTCGTAATTAGTAGAAGAGGCCGCTGTGATGAGCGCTGTTCCAATACTCTACTCCTAAGGAAAGGAGCTTCAATGCGTAGGAATCACTGGATCATCCTTCACGACAGGAAAGGCGGCAATATTTAAATAGTGACGTATCATTCGGCCGTTCACGAGAACTATCGATCATGAGATGATCAGGTCATGTACAGTAACCGTTAGCATAACTCCTTCATAGTGCAACCTTGTAATAAAGTTAGACCTTGAACCTGGTTGGTTTATGTTGTCTGCATGACTCACCACTGTAACAACACATGGACGAAGGCATCTAAGATGCTTCTTTGCAGTCCATCTTTGGATAAATTGTTTTGCCGCTGCAGACTGACGTCACTAACATGAGTCTCCTGTTGCATTATAAGTACGTAGTTTAGTGAGAGTGGAGTCGGATTCCCTGAACACAGCGGGTGTCTTTTCCTAAATTTAACTTAAAAAATTATCATAAACTTGCAGAGAACCTGAAAAAAAGACACTATGGACATATATATGTGTTTTAACATACTTATGTTTATATTATTAATTATTCATTGTATATTTTTATCTTATCTTATTTTACTTTATCGTAATTCTTTTATTCTTATATTGCACCAAGTCAAATTCCTATGTGTGCCATTTGTCGGCCATAGGGTCGTCGTGGCGCAGGGGTTAGAGAAGGGGCGCAGGGGTTAGAGAAGGTGTGCTGGGAAGCACAAGGTTGGTGGTTCGATTCCAGGCTGCCCCATGTTCCATGTCGAAGTGTCCCTGAGCAAGACACGTAACCCCTAATTGCTCCCCGGACAAAAATGTGAAAAAAGCCGTTTAGCGTCTGCTAAACCTGTAATGTAATGTAATTTGTGGCCATAAATGGCTTGTGATCTGATCTGATAATACTGCGGGTTAAAACATGAACCCAGCTCAAAACTATAACATCTGCTTCAAATAACTTAATATTTATGTGACTCGTTAACAACAAAAGCTCGCTAAACTGTATGTATATGTGATATTTCTGAAGCAACAGGGAGTCAAACACAGGGGCAGAGAGCTGTGCTCAATAAGCAGCAGCAAGGCCCGATGCTGCCACCCGGCGGCGATTCGACGCCGTTTAAAACCTGCTCAATCGCCATGTGACGTTGACGTTATTTATTTGGCAGATTTCGCTCCAAGACACAAGTTTGCAAAGTGACCTTAATGTTAACCTGCGGTATGAATGTCTCCAATTAGCGAGCGCTTCTATCGGGCTTCATAGTCCGAAGGGAAGAGACGGACTCACCGTCTCAGAGTCCCGTTGTCCCGGAGCGAAGACTCTTCTTCATCTGCGGAACTCTTCCTCCCCGGGTTGACGGTGCTCGGTTGTCTTTTTGTTTCCTCTGAGGCCATTTCAAATGTCAGAGACCAGGGAGAAATAGGCGGGCAGGAGGATAACAACAAATATATTCTACGACTACTAATGGCAGAGGCTCGACACTATTTTTGAATATGGCGGAAATCCGCAAATTGACCAATGAGAGAAGAACAGAGTCGCTCGTGCTAGACGATGACCCTAAGTGGGCGGGGCCAGGGCAGTTCAGTTACAGGGCAAACGACACAAGCGTCTCCGTTTGGAGTAATTAGAATGCAATTTAAAATGAATTAGGTTGTCCATGCACACCACAAAACAATAACTTAATCAGCGTCTCCCATGCTGCATCTTTATTTCATTTCTTTTATAGAAAAGAAAAAAAGGCCCTTTGCCAAAGTAACACTGGATATTTCACTTTGGCAATTTACACCAAATGTATTTTTTGAGCTTTCTACTTATACTTGTATCCAATGCAAAGACAAACAGACCGTAGAACTTAACTTGCTGAAATATTAAAATGTCAAAATGATTGTATTTGTTACCATTGAATAATCAACGCTATCCATCTTGCTGATTATGAATTAAACTTGTGTCTGGTCCCAACGTGCATAACAGCCTCCAGTATCTAATCACATGTGACTTTGGAACTTCGGCACTGCTTATGACTATCTTTTTGGACGTCACGGTAAACATCGCCCATAGCGATTCATAGTTCGACAACATACAGAGATTCATGTTCAGGAAAATTCCTCCCCTGCAGTCTCTTCTCTGGGCGCTTATTCTAATAAAAGGCCTTTGTGGTCTTGTTCACTCTCCTCCTCTCGGTCTGCTAGCGCTCGTGATTCAGTCATGTTTTTTGATGTAAAACATTTAATTAGTTACAGGAATTAAAAAACACCTTGAATTATTGTTAGGTGAAATGTGCTTTATTGTGAATTTTCTTACATCGTACCAACTCAATAACCACAAAGGCATCTTCTATAATTGCTATCAGCCTCTAGTCGTGGTTAATGTGAACTGCAGGAACATTGACTTGTTTCTGGCAGTGAAAATGACACCAGTAACTCACATTATGTAATATTTATTTAGACACAAGCAAGATTTACTACAGCTAAGATGAAGTTGTTATCCATAAATGGCAGATGTTACAGACAACATCCGTGAGTGGCCTTCAAACTCCTGATGGATCTCTTCCTGTTTGAATCCAGAGACAAAAAGCCACAGCTACTTTCTTCTGCTCGTCCCGCACTTTTCCGAAGACTCACAGATGCATTGATCCACAGTTTCATAACCGATTTCAAATGGTGCTAGAAGGCTGCAGCGGGCTCTATGCACCAGAAGAAATCGGTTATCTTTTAGAGGAGAAAAAGGAGGAGGGGAGAGGACAGTGTCGTACATGTCCTCCAGAGGCTCACTCACTGCCGGAGCTGTCCTCCTGTCCTCAAGAACACTGATTTCAAATGGTGCTAGACAATGGGAACACACATCTAAACCACCATATGAAACCAGCTTCTAGGGGAAGATGTTTTTTTGGTGTCACAGCTGCAACGGTGAAATGAGTCCGAGTTAACAGCTCTATCTGTTTTCAAAAAGGTATTTTAAATGCATCGTAGCTCCTTAAGGAAAAAAAGCCTACTTAGGGTCCATAACTTTACTACAGATGTCATGAAGGAATCCACACTTTAATAAAATATACATAATTTTCTGCTACTCACTAACAGCTCACTGAACTACCAGCACACACAATGCTGCACCTCGTCACAACAAAGGAGGATGGGTACTTGGCCAGATGGTATCTTCTACAATGACTTCTATCTGATTGCCTGCATACATCAACGCTTGTTTTTCAGTTTGAATGGAGTGTGTTTCTCAAAGACTTTTGGTGTCTAGACAAAGAGTTAGCTTTGTTCAAAGAGCTGCCCTCTACCAAACACATCTTGCTAGATAATATTAATAATATGAACAATGATGCCAGATAACGTGTGTATTAAGTAAAATAAAAAACACAACCACATACTGAAAAAAGTGCAACCACAACAACAGGGACCCCACGAAAAGCCATTCTTCATAAAGCCCCACTGATATCCTCCCTGCAGTCCATCCTCTGTCAACACATGAGCCGTGCAGTCAGACGGGACAGCGCAGGAAATATGTCTCAAACATGAATGCGGTTGTCATGGCAGCACGGCAACAAGGACAGCTGGTGGTTAAAACTTTGCCCCAAGCAACAGAGAGAAATTCAATCAGAACATCACAGCAAACCAAGGCTGACACGACAGTCGAGCGCTGGTGCTGTCAGCTCCACACTGATGCTCGGCCTCACTTAGACAATGCAAACATATGCAAATATATAATGATGGGCGAGCATAATGATGGGAGCTGACTTTGTTGTCATTCTCCCGGCCACTGATCCTGCAGGGAAGACGACAGAAGAATTATGTAACAACCATTGTGAGTAAATGTATACGTGAAATAGGATTTATGCTATTTATTTAAACAATTAGAACTAGATTTCAGGGCGGCACGGTGGCGTGGTGGTTAGCACCGTCGCCTCACAGCAAGATTTTTACACAGAAGTGTATACCTCTGTGTGAAATATAGTTCCATCCAACTTCAGGCTTCTCAATTCTAGCCAGCTAAAAAAGATGCCACAGGTATACATGGTGTTAATGGATTCTTTGTGGTCATACCGACGACCATGACATGTTTTGGAGCTACAAACACAGGATGGTTTTGGTTTAACTAATAGCTGTGTTAACTGGTGACTCTCAGTCACGGTAGTGACAGCACCTACTGAAAATACTAAACAAAATGTGTGGGCCTCAATTTGAAATGCATTTACATCCGTGTTTCATTTACTAGTTCAAGCAATTACACAAGTACCTACATGCAACCACGGAGGCGTAAGGCTTACTCGGTCACTGTAGAACCCGAATGGCTGGGCCAGACGTCAAAGGCTCACGTGGCTGGTCACACTGCTCCGAGTCCTCCGTGACATACGAGCACATCCAGCTGGAGAAATGTGCAAACGGTGTCAGGGTGTGTGTGTGTGTGTGTGTGTGTGTGTGTGTGTGTGTGTGTGTGTGTGTGTGAGTTCTGTGTCTCGTGTTACAGCACAGAATCAGCGCACAGTACTTATGTAACCGGCCGCCGTCATGACAACAAGACTACACATGTAAATGCCACTTTGTCCCTGTGGCTTCTACAGGTGTTTGAAGGGTGTAAGATGAGCCATAACAGCTGATGAGCTCGAGGGTGGGGGTAGCAGGGTGGAGGCAGTTGACAGGGGGAAGATGAGACACTCGTGCCCGCCCACACTGACATTTTCTTAAATCCACCTCACAACGTTTGGCCATGTTGTCACATACTGCCTGAATCGTGCTATTCTGCTACCCGCCACCAGAGGGCCACATTACATCTGGAAGCTCAAGCGCAACCACTTGAAAAATGGTTACTATGGTGATGTGGCTAACTGGATGGGGCTGTTGGGGACTTTCCTCTTGTCAGCCCTTAGTTTAGGGAGGTCAGAGGTCGAGATCACCCGTAATCGCTACTTGCAATCCAACACAGCAACACCATACAGTGTAAAAGTCTCAATGTCATATGTGACACGTATTCCTGTTATTTTTATTTCTATGATTATAAGCTGTAAGAGGAATTTGAAATATAACCATGATCTCTATCTAAAATCCCAACCCCCCCAAAATGATATTAGAAAAGTTGCCATGTGGTTACGTGCAATGTTGAACCAGAGAATCACGGTGAATTATGATGAGGTTAAGTTTCACCTCTCTCCCTCTCTCCATACACAGGCTGACTATTGCTCGATTGCCCACATTCACACTTCAGTCTCTTTTTCTATTCCATTGGGCGACTGTGGGTGAGTGGGGAGCACGTTTGTCCTCCAATCAGAGGGTTGTGGGTTCGATCGTTGTGTCCTTGGGCAAGACACTTAACCCAACATTGCTCCTGTAGCTGCGACTACAGTGTGTGGATGTTAGTTACTGATGGGCAGGTGTCACTGTGTATGGTTCTCCTGTCATCAGCGTATGAATGGGTGTGAATGGGTGAATGATGTCGTGTAGTGTTAAAGCGCTTTGAGTGGTTGGAAGACTAGAAAAGCGCTGTACAAGTACAGGCCATTTACCATTTACCATTTCTCATCCTTTGCCTCTTTCTCGCTGTTATTAAGTGCATACAGGCACACGCACAAACACACACATACATTCTTGCTTTGCGGGGGGAAATACTTCTATACTAATACAACGGTTGGTCCCACAGGTTCCCACTTTCCAAATATGGAAAGAGTCTCAGGGTCTAACAACTCAAGTTGTTCCCATAAAGATAGCTGTACAAATATACACACAGACACACACACATACAGAAACTCCTTTTTGCTCTGATGGGAGAAAGGCTCCCTTGTCGAGGTGAGGCGAGCGCTTGTTGTCGGCTCTCACTCCGGCTTCCTGTTCTATTCTCTCCCAGGAAGTGACACACACCCCTGGCATGAATGGTAGCCGCCTGGCTCCCACGGGTGACAGTGATGTCATCCTTTGCGCCTCTCCCTCCGTCCACGCTGCTGCCGTGTCTGGAAGGAGAGAGGTAAAAATGGCGTAAGATGAAGATGATGAAGTTTATGCAAGATCTCCCTTTTTGGACCTTTGGTCCCGGTTTTGCAGAGTCATGGTGCAATAGTCCGCTGCGCTGATTGTCGGCTGCACCAGCATGATTTTTGTTCTGAATAAAGTAAATCACGGCTTGAGGCCCGCTGCAGTTGGCCAGGACGGTGGATGGGGGGGGGGGGGTGAGTGTGGGAGACGGAGCCGCAGCATAAATCCACGACATGCTCAGGATCTTCACGCAATTTGGCAGCAAGCATTAGTCACGCTGTCAGTGACGCGCCTCACTGGAAAACAACACAACTGCTTGTTCACTTTGGTGTTTTGAGCGTTTTGAGATTATGAAGAGATACGTGTTGTCCACGTGTAAATATATCCAACATGGACATTAGTTTGTTGTGCAATGAAGGGAGCGTCATGCCGGGTTGCGTAACAGCCTTTTCACAGGAACAGTATGCAGATCGATCCAGTGGTGCAAGGAAGTTACAGAACGCCTCTAATGCACACTGGTGTGCAGCGTGCCCAGCAAAGAGTGGTATGATAAGCCTTCATAAAATCAGTTTGAATCCAAGGAAACGATGATGTAAGCTAGGAAGTGATTCATGCATGATCCGGCACCTCGGGCCCACAGACCTGATACTGATGCTCCCTTTCCGTCGAGATCCCCCAACTTCCCCCCACCTCTTGAGCCATCTTGTTCTCATGTAGCTGTTGTTTTTCAGTTTGAATGGTTGTTATCCAACCCTGCTAATATCTGTTGTGCTTTTTTAATCAATGAGCTCTTTTATAATATGATAAACTCCCAGCAGAGCAATGCAAGCCTCATATGGGCCAATTAATACAATATCCAGCAGTCCTGCTTGCAACAATGACTTGGTTCAGACCAGTATAAGCATAATAACAAGTTACAACAGTTATATCACTTTTCTCAGGCAACTACTTTGCCATTGGAGTCATAACCATCTCTTATTGAACTGAAATCTAACGATGTCTTTTTCTGGGGTTCCGGTGAGCCAAAGAACCGCAGAGTGTGTAATCAGCAACGTGAGACGTAGCAATGGAGTTGGAGTTTGAGAGGCGTGTGAAATCAGTTTTTATCATCAGACAATAGCCGGTGGGTTCAGAAGTTGACAATGCTTTCTGTAGCAAACACAGATTTTTACTGGGATTGTCTCATTTTTACACCCCGAAAACTTAAAGCTGCACTTGCCTAATTGAATACATTAGTATTCATAAGTGTATTACACCCTAACTACCTGTTTATTTAACATCAATTAATGTTGCTGTTTTTTCAGTACAGTTTGCAGATAATTTCACACAGGAGGTACACACAACCAGCTACTGTACTGGTGAGTGTAGCATTTGACAGTTAAAGATAGATATTTTCCTGTGGAGTTGGTGGAGACTAAAAGCGAGACAAAAGACAAGCTATGGGATGTTCAAAAAAGCATGATTCTGCTAATTCATTTCTGATTACAACTTTATATGTTGATGATGTGCACTTGTTGTAATTACTTCTTCCATTAATACATGCTGCCATCAGAATAATAAAAAACAAAAACATCAGAATAAATGTGACACACCAGGGCTTTAAACTATTGTCTATCCCCCTCAACATCTTTCTGGCATGTTACAAACAATATGGATGAGAGAAAATAGAAATGCCCGCCAATCTCATATCTTCATATCATCCTTTTAAATAGCACGGAATTCATTCCAATTGGATCAGTATCATCCTAGATGCGATGCATCATCTCTGGTAGACTGAAGATGAATCTCATGCATGAGGTTTGGGTTTAAAGCTTTGACCCCTTGTTATCATGGCCCTCTCTTCTCCTAGTCTGCATTTTGGCATTCAGACCGGTAAGCAAAGTGCCTAATGCTGACTAAACCAAAACATAACAGTCCAAAGTCGTCCTGCTAACGTAACGGCTCGTCACTGGACACCATTTATGATGGACGCTGTTTGTCATCCCACATTACATTTGGCTCAAGGGCCCTATTTTATTTCTGTTATTCATCTGGATCTAAAAATAAATGTCAGGTTCTGAGACCTACCCACCTGTTTCCAGTCATTAGTGACATTACCAAAAAGAGGGTCATGCCGTAGTGGTGTGGACAGCCCTGGCTTCCTGCGTACGTAGCTGCGTGTCAGCCGGAGCTGGTTCACGCGGCGGTCAGGCAAAATGCCCCGAGGGAGGGCGGCATGAGCCTGGCTGTGCAGAGGTATGCTAATACAAATGCTAACAGCAGCAGGGGAGAGTATCAATCTCAACTATAGTATAGAGTAGCATAAAAAGACCTTTTAAGTCAGCAAGGCTGCTATGCTTCACAGGGCCACACACATACATACACTTAATGCAGCTGACACACAGCTGACAAATATACTGCACAGGCAGCGACACACTTAAGCAGAACAACTGTGGAATGGACAGTTTACCGTGTTCTATGTCGACTCTGCAGCTCACGCTGTGTTTTATAGCGTGGTTTCAAATCCACAGCCGCTTACAATAAGATGCGGTCATGGAAAACAAAAGGCCGTGCAGATGATATGAGTGTGACAGAAACTGATTCTGTGAGTGGAGTCACACACGATCGACGCACGATAAAGGAAAACGTTTAACGCAGGCACAAAGAAATCTGAATCAAAAACAAACACTGATGAGGCCTCTAAGGATTTTAACAAAATGCCAGCAAGGGTCTCAACCACCAGACCCCTCACATGCACATACAGTATATGTGAATCGTGGATTCATTACACAGCTTAACGTAAACCTTCAACAGTGTAAACGTTTCACTGACGATTGATATCTAACAATATTCAGTACAATGTGATCAGGACATCTTTTATGCTATAATAATGTTACATTGGGAACAACCAATCAGTGTCTTGACTGGAGGAGAGCTACTAACGTGTCGTTGGAATCTGTGTTTGATTCCCTGCTCATTTGGTTCATTAGCGTCATTTGTGGCGGCCTTTGAAAATATGCGTTGTTTGCAACCATTCGCTTTGCTCTTGGTGTGACAGCTCCGGGTGTGAAAGATGCAGCCAATGCGGAAGTCTCTTTAATGGCATTTTTGATTTCTGTATTAATGAAGTAGTTTCGTTGGAATGTCCTTCTGTCCTCGGTCCTGGACTTTCTCCGTGACACTGTAGCAAAGATTCAGTTTAGTTAAAACATGATGCATTCAGGCTCTGTTCAGAGAAAAGGATTTCTGCTCCATGAAATATTATAATACACCAGCTGCTATTACCCAAATACAAAGGGCTCTGTATCTGGCCATATGGATCATCATCAGCAGGACCAGTGGCTAAATAAATGATGGGTTCCCAAAAAATGGAACATTTAGTATTATGTTGATCTGATTGTGGCGCGATCCGTGACTCTGATTCCGTGACACGGTGAATGTTATTGTCCTCACTAATAAAGAATTATAGCATCTCATCTTACTTCACATTCCTTCTCGCTTCCTGGCAATGATCTTCTGCCATCAACACGTTATCAACGGATCGGTTACATGTTTCTTTTCAAAATAATCTTCCACGTTCACAAGAAACCTGCAGTTACTTTATGCATGCTTACAGTTTCTTACTTTACTTGGTTAGGTTTAAGGTTTATGAACACATTATGGTTTGGCTTTAAATGAGTTGCGGTTGGTTTCGTAAAATTTGTATGCTTATTACGTAATCCAAGTAGAATGGTTATGTAGTTATCTACACGTATTTGTTAGATATCCACATTATGTCAAGAAAAGGATTACTGTCCAAACGACAGTATTTAACAAGTTGGAAGTGAGACAGAGATCGACTTGATTGGATAAAAGGTTCATCACGCCCACAAGTACAAAAGTGTTTGACTGAATTAAAAAAATGCTCTGAATGTATTGCATATAACTGCTTAAGACGCAGTTAGACTCATTATGATCCTTCATGCATGAAGTATTCATTTCTACAAACCATTAGACTTTCCTCTAAAAGCTGCAAATTACAGAACTATTGATGTATTTGTATTGAGTTGTAATATAAAGGAGGTGCCTGTATTGACAAACCCAAAGATTAAATGTTTTCTGAATTAATATTTAAATCAAATATTTACTAAGACTGGATCATCTTAGAGTATGCCTTTATTGAAGAACTCGTATCATTTCATCAGTCCAGTCCAAGTAGAAGTCTATCCTACAGTTTGAACACCACAGTGCCCACATGCCATCAAAATTCCTTTGGAAAGAACGGCCACGTCACGGGATGAGCTTCAAGGCTTCCTGAAGCCTTGTACAAAGCGCAAACGAGGCTGACGTATTTCTCCTGACCCTTTTTTCCGTCCTGGAAAGGAGGGAGAACAAAACAAAAATCTTTCCTTCTGGAGAATTTCAGACATCTGGCTTTGTTTGGGCTCAGTTCCGGGAACAGATCACAGCCGCTGCCCGGCCCACTCCCAGCTCCGCGGCGGCCGGCCAGCCTCCCTGGACACGGATAAACTATCTTAATACGCCAATTTGAGGCGGGGCTAAAAATAGCAACATGTCACTCGTGGAACTAAAGTTAACTGGAAAACAGGCATTGAGGGGTGGAACAGGGGGGGAGGGGCGGGGTGGGGATGTGGAGGGGGCGGGGGGTGGGGATGTGGAGGGGGCGGGGGGCGGGGCAGAGAGAAATTTATGAAAGATTGAAAAGCTGCATGAATGAAATAATGATAGGCGGGTAGATGATGGATGATGGACGGATGGAGAGATTAATGATAAATAGAAAGATGGAACGATAATAAGTGAATCGATGGATCGGTGATAGATGGGATGAATGGATTGAAAAGTGGATGATAGATTGATGATCAATGAATGGATGGGATGAAACGATGAATTGACGATGTATGGATGGTTTAATGGTTGGTGTGGTGTTTGGTAACAATGAAAGTGGGGCAAGGTGGATGTGGATGTTGCCATGACAACAGTTTGAGGCCCTCAAGCCGGTAAACAGGCTGATATCAGAACATCGAGGATTCTGCTTTCAGCCTTTTGGTTAAAAAAGAAAAACTGATTAAGAGAGTGTGTGTGTGTGTGTGTGTGTGTGTGTGTGTCCGAGTTCATGCAAGAGAAAGAGAAAATGGTCATGATTAAACCCCCACTTACAATAAAGCAACCGACTTAGTCATTTTCTTGACAGTAACAACACCTACTCACTTGGCCTACTCGATCAGCCCCTCCCCTTCTCTCACCTCCGTCACCCACCAAAGAACCTTGTCGCTCAACTCAAACACTCTGGCCTTGCTGCCGGGGAAACTCAGCAGCCCAGCAATGAATGCATTTAGGTCGAACACACTCACACACTCAAACACACACACACACAGTCAGAGTTAGTCAGCAAAAGCAGGAACCGCAAGCTAAATCTTCAACTTCCACTCTACTTCCCTCTTGGCTCTGTGCCATGACAGCTTCCCACATTGAAGGGCCGTTACAGTAAAAGCCGCTGCGTTCCTGGAAACGGCTGTCTGCTGACACATTGCTGCTATGACTCCGCAAAAATAGTTTCATCTGAAGCCAGATATCTCCCCCGGGCATGTGAGGGGTTTGTTAGAAAGTGGATGCAAATGGATTTACGAGTGAAAGATTGAAATCAAAGTCTGCTGTAGAGTGCAAATGACCAGACTAGTTAAATAAGTAAAACAGTTGGCAGCAGTTCAGCGTCACTACATGGTGATATACGAGGAGACTCTGATCTGTGCGTGTGTTGTCATTTGCATTCACCAAGGACCAAGAAACTAGTTCTGTGGAAAGCTTCATGTTGTATTCAAATTTTCTTGTAAATAGAACACTTTGGTATGGTTCCTCATTGCACTGCTAACTAAAAAGAAGTATGCAAGTAAGTAACTAGGGTAAATTGAAATTCAGTCATAGTTGAGGCGAGATTAAGAGTTCCACTGTTCAGCTTTATTTTCTGCGTGTGTTCCGACTTCTCTTTAACAATGTCCCCACAACCATCATATCTTAGCGACTGGAGTTGGCCAAAACTGTAGGAATGTGATCCAGGAACATCATCAGTCCCACGTCCTCATGGTAAACACAGCCCAAATGATGTGCTGCCACTCTCCGAATTACTCTTTTCTATGATCAATAGAGTATTTGACTACTAAAATGGCCGTAGTTGGAGGCAGCCTTAGGCTTTCTTTCAACCTTGTTGGGGGATTCATCAGAAACTTGCTCAAATGAAATACACCCAGTGCAGCATAGCATCCTGAGGGAAAAATATATACGGTCAATCTTCTTTAGTTTCTCCTCAGAAGTAGCAGTTCCCATCTAAGTTTAGCAGCGTTTTCCCAACAACACTCCACAAGCACCAATGCTCTGTCTTCTAACAATCGATGTCCAAGCAGCAGAGGAGCATTCCTCAGCCATTGCCTTCTGACAGAAATCAATATGGTCGTGCATGTCACAATCTGTCCTTCCCATCATGCCACCTGGTAATATGACAGCCCTGGTTGCAAAGGATACCAATCAGACAGAAGAGAGACTTCTTTCTCCAAGGCCTCCACATCATAGGAAAGACACCTGTGCATTGGGCGCGTGGGTGTACATTCCATACACATTCAGTAATAATTAACTTCCCCAAACAGCCACTGAACTTTTGGAATCACCGGGAAGATATCTGCTTTCAAATATGAATGAGGGGAATATTGCTCTGCTGTCAGGAATATAGAGCCGAGACAAACCAAAACCAGAGACAGTCAGAGACAGTCCAGGCAGTTAATTTAGAGCACAAGTTAACATGAGGCAAATAGGAGCAGTATTCCAACAATTGAAGAAATGTTGGGACACGTTCAGAACTGAAAAACACATTCCGCCTGCTTGAAAAAACGATTCCATATAATTTATCGCCGTTTTTCTGCTTTTAGTGTGAAATTTCCCAAAATTGTCGACCACAAGCCACCTCCAGTGAAACCAGCTTTCAGTACTGATCACGGCAGCGGCAAGCCAAACCCTTAACCATCGGTCCCATTTTCCCTCTATCGCTCTCTCCACTAGGATCACAGTTGAAGTGCAGCAGTGAAATAAATACATAAATAAATAGTGTATAAAAACAGCATGACTTGATTTTTCAGCTTGAGGAGTGTACCGCATCGGGTAACCAAACCTCTCCGTCTCTGGAGTAAACAGAAAATACCCTGTTCAAACAGCCCTCTCTTTAACAGCCAGTAAACAAGAACAAGTGGACTTTCAGAAAACCTAAGCAAGGATCAGCACATCTACTATTGATTGATTGATTTAGTTGATGTTGTCCAAACCGTTTGTTTCCCAATGATGTTTCTTCTACAACCTCACCAGTAACATCTTGACCCAAACCCCCTACTATGACCACACACACAGACAGCAGCACGAGGACACAGCTCCTGCTCCTCGTAGGCTGTTGTGCTTCCCCTGTTAGCGACACAGTCGGAAAGCCCTCTTGCGGCATGTCAACGGCAACCACGGCCCATAGTTACACCCTCAGCGTGACACAGGCTCTCCGTCGCTGCTTCCAACAAAGTGCTGTACACAGGATGCTGCCAGCGCACGCCTTGGCAGGAAATGACGCCAGTGAGGCTTCATTCCCGACTCTGGATTCAGCCTGAGGGCGCTTCTTTTGACGCCAATTACTGGTCCGGCATCAAATGTTAGCCGAGTTTGGTGAAAACATGTTCTGAGCTTGCCTTGGACAGGCTAAGCAGGTAAGTGGAGAGGAGTTAGGGTTTGGCAATTAGATGAATGCATCAGTGATCAATGTAGAGAGGAAATTCACTTGTTGACTGTCGGGCAAATAAGACACAATCAAGTGTACATACATATGCAATGCATGGAAGGATAAAACTACACTAAACTTGATTTTAAACATTCAAACATTCCGCAAATAAAAAAAAGTCCGGAATATTTCTGCCAACCTGTTTGTTCCAATCTTGTGTCTTTGCACTTCGTTCTGTGAATGCAAAACCTCCCAAAAGGTTCTCCGTGCTACTTCTTTTAAAAAAAGAGAACCATGCTTTACTGTTTAGGTTGTATTATAAAGATTGTGAAAGTCCAAACTTTTCACTCTTAATGAATTCCTACCTGAAAGGGGCAGTGGCTTATCTTCTTGGCTCATTTCCTCTATCCATCGTGCAAAGAATCACCATTTCTGCAAATGCTGTCGTTTTCACCAACTTCTCCAGGTAGTGTGTCTGGATGACTGCCTACTTCAGGCTAACCAGCAGCCATCGATGACCTGTTGGCTCGTATCACTGACAGGATGTCTCGGTTAGACACCGACTACAGGCGTTCCATCTCAGAGTCATTTGTGGCGGCCTTTGAAAATAGCCGTTGTTTGCAACCATTTGCTTTGGTTTTGGTGTGACAGCTCCGGGTGTGAAATGTGAAGTCAATGCAGAAGTCAACTCATCTGGTGGCATTTTTTATTTCTGTATTAATGAAGTAGTTTCGTTGGAAGGTGCGTTTGAGTCCTTCTGTCCCCAGTCCTGGACTTTCCCAGTGACACAGTAGCGACACTCTTTTGATGTATTCCCTCAGTAAACATTGTAAACACGAGTTTATGGTCTCAATCTCTAGTTTCATGTCTTTTTCAATAGAGCATTATGTTCATTTAGTAAATTATTGTCCATTTAGAGCAAAACAGTCCATAAAGCAGGGTTTGTTTTATGAAACTGGGTGTAAGCTGGACTCATGATTACTCACTTTTAAGATTAACGGGAAACTGAAAGCTTTTAATCGGCAGTTCAAAAACCCATGGTTGACATTGACATTCGCATTGCTAACTACATCTACTTATAATATAGACTATATGCTTCCACCCGGTTGAACAAGTTCTAACAAAAGAAACATCGATCTGTCGCCTCCAAAAGCAGCTTTCAAAGTCGGCCCCTCCTTCACTAGGTTTAATGACACAGGCGTGTGTGGGCTACACACCCAATGCCCAAAGGTAAATGCCCAGAAATGTCCCGGTCCTGAGTGTTATTGGGAAGGACTCCTTTTGTTACAGCCAATAACCTTTTATTTCATCAATTAATACAGGCTTTTGTCATTTTGTTAATTAGGAAAAAAGAGCAATATGGCCATGTTTATATTAATGCAGCAATACTTTTTGGGGGGGAAACATAACTCAGAGTGACCACTTACACACTACAGTCATTTGACAAAATGTATTGATTAGTGCAGCTCTAATATTCAATTGTGTAAATTGATGCTGAACTTAACTTGGAAGTGTGCACGTAACCATAGTACCGCACATGGGGGATTTAGAATATTAAGCCTGGAGAAAAAACAAGAGGTTTGAGAGAAAGTAGACACCCCAGTATTCTGAAAACACTACAGATACACCAGTGTATCCGTTTCATTCCTGTCACACTTTCCTCTCAACCTCCGTCTGCCTGGCAGCCTCTTCTTGTGCTGTCTACCTGGTCTGCCAGAACGCTATTGAGACTATTCCTGTGGGAGAAGCACACGGCGAGGTAAACAAACCCAGGCGAGGGCTGCGTGCTGCAGACATGAGGCACTCGTACGCACACCCACCTGCCTATGAACAAGCCAAAAGCCCAACTCAGTGTGCGTTATAGAAACCCATACAAAAAGAACACACTTTACTTACATTTTCTGTTCCACTCCTCCCAGCTTTACCCTCATAAAGATTTGCGAGTCAAGTCCTCACTAATTCTCCAGAATTTGGCCTCAGCACGTGTTTTCCATGTTACTTTGTCCTGTCTTATGCCATCGTCCAAATGAGAAAGTGGTGTTTCCTGACTCTCGCTGTGTGTCTTGTCAGGGACAGAGTTCCACGCTGCTCTCTCTCTTTTTCTTCTCTGTGTGTGTGTGTCCTACAAAACAAAGTGGGTGTGTCTCAGTGAAACAAGTCTGAAAATGAGTGCGAACGAGGGCGAAGTGCACACCCTCGTGGGAGCGGACTCTGGATCTGCTCTGCTGTGTGTGTGTGTGTGTGTCTGCATCTCTACGACGCACTTGTGCGTTAATGCACTCGCACACTTTGCACCAAACTCTGTATTTTAAGTTTTTCCAGAAAGCCACAGCAACGTTGGAAGGAAAACAGGAAGCGAGAGTTTTTTTGTTTGTTTTTTTACACAATTTGACAGTGTCCAGGAATCAAACCAACAACCCAGGCCGGACCACACACCTATCCATCAAATAAGCAGTTCCCCCTGCGACAGCCTCAATGGCAAACAGCAGGGAAATGCAAGCAGCCAGTGGGGTGGGGGGGTCAATAAGAGGATCCCTCTCGTCTCCATGGCGACGCCAGTGGCAAAGAGCGTTTCTGTCCGAGTGCCCCTCGCCCCAACGCACACCACCTCCACTCTGCACACACGAGGCAGTGTGGGAAAGCGGTCGCACTTGACTCTGGTTGTTTTCTCTGACAGTTTTCTGCCTCTTTTGGTAACCAAGACAGAGAAAAAAAGAGAAATGAGAAACCTGAGCTGCTTTTATTTAGATTTTATTCAAATGATACCATAGCTAGAGCCAGCAGGTGACAAGCTATCCGTTCTTATGGGGGACAAATTGTCCTCTTAACCAGCCACAGCAATCCATCTGGGGGGTGTGCTGGAGGTATCTGGGTCACGGCAGCAAAAACATAAATACAGCTGCTCAGGAAGGGACGCAGGAGAAAACAGGAGCTGGGTCTCCAATTAGAGGCCGCATGTTCCATATAGTCGAGAGAACGACACACATGCAACCGGGAAGAAGCCTTTAAGACTGTGTGTGTGTGTGTGTGTGTGAGAGAGAAAAATGAGAGAGAAAGAGAGCGAGGCCCGCCCGCCTGCAGAGATCCCTTCTGACAGAATAAGGCGCCTGTTTACACACACAAACACACACCTACCTACATTCACTACAACAAAATAGAGCAGGATCAACACTGCAGCGGCCCACAACTGTCAGCTCTCTGGGTGTAAAGATGCGGTGAGCTGTTCAGGTTTTCGGCATCAATGAATAAACTAATGTGTTGACTCCCTGTTTTGCTTATTTACTTAGTAGTTATGCTTTAGCTGATAAAAATAAATAATACAAGTTTTTTCTAATTATCAATGTTTAGGTCATTGATAATTTAGGCGGCGCAAAAGTTTTAATGTATAACACAATGTGGTTTGGGGGTAAAGTTCACGGCAAAATGGAGCGGCACGTTGAGGAAGGGCTGGAGGTACAGAATACACATGCACGCACACACACAACCTCACACACACAAAGCCTTTCACAACAGGTAGCATCACGCTGTTCGCCCACACACACATTCTTTTCGTACCAAAGCAAAATAAACAGTTTAATCCACACAGGGGGGAGCACAGAAAGAAAGAAATATTGAGTGCCCACGCACACACAATTACACACCCACGTAAATACTTGTACCTTTTACTAGCAGTGATTCATACCAATCCGGCTTGTAAATGCGAAGCCTCAGGCATTTACATGAAGACTGAGTGTGTGTGTGTGTGTGTGTGTGTGTGTGTGTGTGTGTGTGTGTGTGAAAGAGAGAGAGAGCAAAGGACCTGGTGCTGTAGTTGTTTTGCTGGAGACGGGAATGAGATTAGGTAAAGCCTTCCCCAGACCGGGACGATGCTGTTAATGCTGAACTTCAGCTGCAAAGGATGCACCAAGCTTACATATCAGCATTCTTTCAAAGCGTAATAGCCCCATCCCTGAAGAAAAGAAAGTGTCTTAACCATAATGATTCAGAAACATATTTCTGGTCTTTTTTGAAAAGTAGGAGACTAAGGAATACAAATAAATTGTTAGTGAAACTTTTTCCATTGCCACCATTTGGCAAATGGTTTCAAAAAGGTTCTGTAATAAATCTAAATTAATAGAAACACCTTTATGATATTAATGCAACTGACTAACTTTACTGTTCTTTACCTCATATGGGACATTTGATATAGAAACACTAAGATAGAACATTTTTAAAATACACTCTCTATGTTTTCTCAATGTTGACTTTTCACTGGGAGATTTACTTATTTCCATTGAAATAAATCTCGCAAAAAATATTAATAAAGGTATGAATCTTGACCAATATTTGTATGACTGAAGGGCTCTAAGCTATATAAGCAAGTTTCATTAGATGATGTGAATCAGGATAATGGAATGGCATCAGGCCCGTTACTGGCTGTGTCCACCTGGTGGGGACACTGATGTACTAAGAGCACAAGCTGGCTTAAATCAGGAAGTGAGTTTTAGTTTAAGGTCGATAGATAGTAAACAAAGCACGCCTGGTTAATGCCCTGCACACGCAGCAAACATGGCAATCAATTCAATTCTCTTTAGCTGCCATGTTGCCCCCTTGTGGACCGAACAGAAGGATTATACTGTGTTCTCTTTCTATTAAAAGCACTTCATATTAGCAACACTAAACCAGTATACTAACAGACTACCACCTCTGGTAATTGTACTGCACTAAAAGTAAGAATATTCTGTGAATAATCTTCCATTTTCCCTACATACAAAGTGCAGTTCTTTCTAATGGTCACTAGAGGCCTTTGACAGGCAAATCGGCCTTTTTTATGGCCATAAAACTGCTGGTTTGGGGAGTTCTTTGTGGGAAGATCTCCAAGGCGCTAGGAGTGTTTTGGAGGCGTTTCCCCTAAGCAGTGCACTCTAAGCAGCAGGGGAAGGGGAATCACAGGTACTGCTGGTTGAGCTCCTGTATAATGGGAACATTCCCACACCAGTTAGAGCAGTACAACCGTAACAAGCTGGGGACCTAACTGTATCCGCAGGCAACATTCTTCTGTCGCTGAGCATCTTTGACCCAAATATAAAAACAAACAAACATGGTAAAAATGTTAGTGGGTGTACTTTATTGGAAAAAAAGAAATATTGTTCTGTCATTCAATTTCTGGAAAGGGACATTGCTTTCAATGTTTTCTTTGCCATAAAGTTCTATTATACTGGATAGAAGGCAGTTATTTCAGCCAATTTATCAATAACACTAAATACGAAAATCAACATTGTTAAATAGTAGTACTACAGGGGACGTATGTAATTTGGAGTCCCATGTGACTGTGAAGAGTCAAAAGAGCTTTGAGCTTTGAGTATCTAACCCGTGTAAACCACTCAGTTGCATATTGACCATGTGTCCATGCCATGTGCCCACACTCGGGGGACCGGCCCTGCAAAGTTTGATTGACAGACAGTGACGGGACTGCCAGGCCAGCAGGGAGAACACAGGGCCCTGCACCCAGAGAGACACAGTGCTCACGTTGTTCCAGTTGCCCTTGGACTCAAGGGGCATTTATCTGCCGGGTTTGACAGACGAGGTCCACAGCGGACAGAGAGAGAGAGAGAGAGAGAGAGAGAGAGAGAGAGAGAGAGAGAGAGAGAGAGAGAGAGAGAGAGAGAGAGAGAGAGAGAGGACAAACCGCAACACGATGACAAAGCTTGTTCTCTGCTAACTACCTCACAAGCTTATGTGTGTGTGTGTGTGTGTGTGTGTGCTGCTTAGTATCAGGGCGCTGGTTTGCCGCATCCAGAGTACCGTACATTTTGTTCCTGAGTGCTTGTCTTCTGCCAAAGAATGTGTTTCCTGGCACCGTCCCGCACCTCTGACTGCCCTACACACACACAATCACTCACTCTCTCACACACACACACACACACACACACACTAGGCGTGCTGGGTGATACCTGCCAATCAGGAGCAATTAACCCATTCACACCCGTGTCTCACGTGTAAATCGACTACCCAAGCTTGGGCTCGAACTGCTGGTTGTCTGATTGATACACAACCCTCCCGCCCCCTTCAACTAAGACAAAGCCAAACCAGCTTTAATTCATTTTGCTTGGCCAAAAATGCAGTAATATCTCCATTAAAAGAAAATAACTTTGACTAAACTCTGGCTATCTCTCTGGTTCCTATAAACGGTCGCTCTCTGTTTTATCTCGACAAGTTCCGATGCTTTCATGGCGTGAGTCTCTGGGTCTTTTTATGTGTATTCTGTGGCAACTGAATGAATACATGTTGGTGTACTGTATGACTTTACATGTCCCTGGGGAAAACCCCTGTGTGGGCTGTTGATTTAACAGCACATCGAAAGTTGAAGTCATAACACAATAGATAAACCCCAACATTAGAGTAGTTCTCTCACGGCGGATTGCTTGTGAATGTAACTCCCACTGTGAGGCACTAAACTACTCCAAACTCTCTTGATCCTGCAGAACCAACCCCAACCCCGTCTGCAACAGAAGTATTGCAAATAGTTAATAACTCTATTCAGACAGGCCATTTCCCAAAAGCTTTCAAAACTGCAGTTATTAAACCTCTCCTAAAAAAGCGGAGCCTAGATGCCTCTATTATCAACAACTACAGACCAATTTCAAATCTACCTTTCATAGGTAAAATAATTGAGAAAGTTGTCCTACAACAACTTAATCACTTCCTGGCTGGTTCAGGTCATATCTACAAGACAGGAACTATTTTGTTTCCATTGGTGACTTTGTATCAGAAACAACCGACGTAACGTGTGGAGTCCCCCAAGGTTCGATCTTAGGGCCGACTTTATTCAACATCTACATGCTCCCACTAGGACAAATCATGCAAAAAAATAAAATTGACCACCATTGCTACGCTGATGACACCCAAATCTATGTAGCGCTGTCACCAAAAGACTATCGCCCCATAGATCTTCTGTGCCAGTGCATTGAGCAAATCAAAGACTGGATGTGTCAAAATTTCCTACAACTAAATGAAGACAAAACTGAGATCATTGTATTTGGTGCTAAAAAAGAAAGGTTTAAAGTAACCCAACACCTTCACTCTCTGTCACTGAAAACATCAAATAAAGCCAGAAATCTGGGGGTTATTATGGATTCAGATTTACACTTGGAGAGTCACATCAAATCAGTAACAAAATCGGCCTACTACCACCTCAAAAATGTAGCACGACTTAGAGGGCTCATGTCAGCTCAAGACTTGTACCTATAGAATATAGAAACGGGCACAAAAGCCATGCAAAGTTTATAACATCATGCTCTTCTACTCTCATTACTGAAAGAATGCCCTTACCAGCTAAAAGAGCATAGAAAAGCAACATAGTTATGGCAACCGCAACACCTTCAATGTGTTCTTTTAACCTCTACAGCTGAAATGCTTCTCATAAATTTGACAATCCTTGGTAAATTCAGCTACTCGGTAGGAAAGTTTTGCTAGTAAGTCAAATTCATTTATTTTAGGTAAATTACAAATTAAAACAGAATATTGCACCTTGGGCTATTCAGTTTAGTTCTTGAGATCATTAAAGGACACATGTACAGTATACACGCACAGCAGTGACTCTTCAGGAAAGCCATCTGGGAGGATGCTTGCTCCAAATACACGTGTGCACTTTAAGTCGTTTGTTCTTTTGAATCTCTTCTCCGTGCTGCTTTTTGACATCACACACTGTGCTTGTGCGGTAATATATCAAAAGAGGAACATGACTCACAGATGGCAATCCCACTCACAAAACACGCGGACAAAGACTTCCAAATAAGCCAACGTTGCTGACGTGCATGTGTGTGTTTGTGTGTGTGTGCGTGCGACTGTGTGTTCCTTTGATGCGCGGCGTTCATCTGGCTGGCTGGATGAGTCACAGCAACGAGGCAATAGAAGAGAATGGATCAGAGGTCAGGGTTTGACCCCCGCTCGTTGATATGTGTATTTAGAAATGAACAGGTAGATGGAGAGACCAGAGAATCCAGAAGAGGGGAAATACAATTACCTGCGCAGCTCCGGCTGATTGACGTCATTCCAACCTCACAAAGTGTCAAACAAGTCTGTGATTAAAAAGAAGACGAGTGAACTCACAGCACTATCGCAACTTGAGGTGAAGGACAAGTCGCCAAACGCAGTAATAGCTTTTTCTTCTATGAGCAACAACTGAGAGCAGCCTCCAAAACCACACTGCAAGAAAAAAAAAGACGAGCAGATCTGATCTTGCTCACACTGCCTTTAGGGGGCCGGAGGAGAACCAATAGGCAGAGGCTGGGGCGGATCCATTACGTTGACCAACTTGTTGCTCCTGATGGTGCAATCTGCTGTCACTACAGCAAAACAGGCAGGTCACTGAGCACTTCAGTGGTGAAACCCATTTATTCTTAAAAGAAACATTAACTTGTGCCAACTGTGTGAGCCAATGAGGATTGCAGGACTCAACAAATTACACTGAAGCGGGGAAACAGGCAGCCGGCCTCACTTGGCATCCTTTCTGTGCCAACGGCTTTGGTCATACGTGCTGTTGTTTCTTCTCATCTTTTGCATGTGACATCTTGAGTATGGGTCCATCCCGTGGCTCAGAGCGGGTTTGTAAACA